ATTTTCTCCATCTTCTCGTACTCGAACTCCTTTGTCTTCTGCCCACATTCCTCAGGCCCCACCACCACCACAAGATAGTTCCTTTTGAAAGCTGCCCATATACGCATACCAGCAAAGAACACAAGCCCTATAGATCCAAAGGTCATGACGAAGCAAGTCACAGTCCCCCGCATCTTCTCTCTTCTCCTCTTCTCCACCTTCTCCTCCCATCTACGCTTTGACTCAAGAAGCGCCGCATAGGAGTGCATACTCCTAGAGAAGTGTCCCGCTTGTAATCTCCAAGAATGGAGGCTAAAGTTCCCGTTATACGACTTAACACCGACCATGAATTCATCCTCGTCTTGCAACGAATCAACCCGAGAACCGAACCGAGTCTGTGGATATTTATACCGTTTTGAATTGGTTAAGGAAGCATCCAAGTACCTGATATTCGCTTGGTAATTAATCCAGACGTACAACAACATCTCCTCCTCCTCTTCCTCGAAGTTTACAACCGTGAGATTGCTTATCTTCTCAGCAACCGTAGAACCATATACACCAACCGTTACATTGGAGTCTCTAAGCTTGGTGAAATTATCAGAAATATCGAACTTGACTTCGAAGAGAGAGTGATCAAACGTTCCGTTAGAAGGAAACACGACAAGACCTACACTCCCACCACGACCAGGAGGCATGGAGAAAGAGAAGACAGTAGAGAACCCCGTGAAGTAGTCCGCGTTAGTGTCTTTGGACTCGATGGGTTTCTTGTAGAGGACTCCACCGCCGATGTGGCTCACTGAGTCAGTCAGCTGAATCGAAGCTCCGCCATCTAAGAGCTTTGCGTCGCCGTAGAGGGAAATGTCGTCGGAGATAAAGCTCGCGTTTTTATCGTATCTTGTGAACGAGAAGGAAGATGAAGCTTCAGATATGGAGATTCTTGAGAAGAGTGAGGTCAAAGCTAGGAGGAGAACGAGGGATGACATGGGGAGAATGAAGCTCGCCATTAAAGGAGCAAGCTTTGATTGATTTTTCTTTAGGGTTTGAAGTGGGAGATGAGATTCTTTTGATGGAGGAGAGTAAAGTGTGTAGTGGGTGCCAGAGAGAAAGAAAGAAACAGAGAAGCACTTGGAGAATGTGAAAGCGACTTTTGTCTCCTTGTTTCTGTGTAAAAAGCTCTGAGTTAAGAGCATGCCCATTAGAGTATCAAGGCAGGTTCATGGGCTCAGATTCCTAGGCCCGAGATTTAAAATTTAAAGAAAAAATGGGTTAATTTCGACGATCCGGTTCGTGGGAACGAACCCGTGTGAGACGGGTTCACGCCACGTGTTTACCGCTGATAGGTTGTATTTTTTTTTGTTGACCTTCGCGAAAGACGGGTCTCGGGCAAAAACTCTCATTTTCTCTCCTCTCTACGCGTTTTCTCTCCTCGAGGCGATATCGGCGATTTTTCTTGCGACGGTGAATCCGACGGCGAATCCGGAGCCATCTACCAAATCGACGACGGAAGATCTCCTCACATAGCTCCGGTGAGTATCGTCTATCATTACCAAGCCAATAGAATCGATTTGGTGTCGAAGAGATCTAGGGTTTTCGAGATCGATTGATCTTTTTTTTTATTTTAGGGTTGTAAATCGAAAGGGGTTTCGTTTTATGGTTTCAAATCCCACATGCATGTTCGATTTAGGGTTTCTCTACCGTCGATTCGAAATAGAATTGGGGGTTTTCGATTTAGGGTTCTTCAATGATTTTAGGGTTTTTATTTGGGGTTTTTTAAATCGAGTATGGGGGGTTTCAAATCCACATGCATGTTCGATTTAGGGTTTCTTTACCGTCGATTCGAAATAGAATTGGGGGTTTTCGATTTAGGGTTCTTCAATGATTTTAGGGTTTTTATTTGGGGTTTTTTAAATCGAGTATGGGGGTTTAAATCTAGTGATAACTCGTATAAGATTTTAATCTAAATACATATCCAAGTTTGAATTTGAAAATAAAAAAGAACCAACTATTTTACATAAACAAAGACAATTAACAATTTAGTGATAACTCGTATAAGTTACAAAAAGATAACTCGTATAATTTCCAAGTGATTCTCCAATATGTATTTCGATTTATATACTTATGAAAATTAATTTTCGATTTCGGGGTTTGATTTTAGGGTTTGTCTTGAGTATGGGGATTACATTCTTTGAAAATTAATGAACTTGTCCCATATTTTTATCTTCGATTTTTTTGGTTAATGAACTTGTCACATATTTTTCTACTTTGTGATACAGATGGATCCAGAAGAGAGAAGAGATATGAAGAGGCACAAGGAGTACTACGACAGGGTTGGTTTCGTGGCAGATTCACAGTTTGGGATTCCGGCGAGGTGTCCCTGTGGTTCGACAATCGTTGATGAGCTTTGCGGGAACAAGGAGTATGACAGTCTTCCTGGCAAGCGTTTCTTCACGTGCAGTAACTACGAGGTAAAACAACAACTCATCCACTCGCTTAATAATTGTTCATTATTCTTTATTAAATTATACAGATTCTAATATGTGTTTTGTTGTTTTCACCAAGGATGATGGGTTGCATTATCGTCATCCTTGGGTGTTTGGTGTCCAGGAGGAGCTGGAAAGGTTGAGTAAGCGAGTGAATGACGCTGAGAAAGTGATCACCGAAATGGCCAGTCTCCATAAACAGATTTCAACACTGGAGGTTAGTGTTAATGCTGATGATGTTGTTGTTTATTAACATAGTTCTAATTCTTTTGATTTCCATGTGCAGGAGCAAGTGGAAATTCTCACTGGACAAGTTGCTGATCTGGAGAAGATCTGTTTCGGCTGAAAACAGGTAAGCCTCAATCTCAATAAACAGGAAAAAAATAACATGAATTGATGAAGTAGAACTAAACTAAAACAACATGAATTTCTTGTCTCGTTAATGTTAAAAATATTGGTAGAAGTCTTTGTTAATGCTGTTGTGTTGGTGGTTCGTTGTAGTTAATTTTAGGTCGGTTTTAGTATGGTGATTTGATGTGTACTAGAAGTAGCTAGCAGAAGTAACTATAAGTACGAATATAAAAAGTGTGAATTGATGAAGTAGAACTAAACTAAAACAACATGAATTGCTTGTCTCATTAATTTTAAAAATATTGGTAGAAGTCGTTGTTAATGCTGCTGTGTTGGTGGTTCGTTGTAGTTAATTTTAGGTCGGTTTTAGTATGGTGATTTGATGTGTACTAAAATTTAGTTTCTAGTTAAGTACGAATATAGTTGCTTGTCTCATTAAAATTGGTTGTTGCAAAATTGAATAAGAAGTACTTTCGCATTAATTCTCTGTTGGTTGTTCGTTGTAATGAATGGTCATTAAGTTAGAGTTTCTTTAAAAAGATAGGTAAACCCAATCCAAAAAACCTAAAACACAAACCAAAAAACCTAAAACACAAACACAAACCAAAAAACCTAAAACACAAACCAAGCCACGATGGATCCCTACTCCCAAAACTCTCCGGGCTTTGTTAATCTATTAGCATCACAGAGTAGTCAAACAATAGACTTAGAGTCTCCCGAGATCCCTAGGTTTATTAGCCAGAGTTCAGACGATCCGAAACCAGTAGAGAGGAGGAAATGGACTCCAAAGGAGGACATTGTCCTCATCAGTGCTTGGTTGAATACCAGCAAAGACCCAATTGTGAGTACTGAGCAGAAGGGAGTAGCGTTCTGGAAGAGGATCGAGGTGTATTTCAACTCAAGTGGCTTACCCCCAAGAGAGGCAAGTCAATGTAAGCAGCGGTGGGGAAGATTGAATGCAGAGGTGTGCAAGTTTGTGGGTTGCTACGAGGCTGCTTTGAAGGACCAAGGAAGTGGCAGGAATGACAATGACCTCTTGAACACTTCCCATGACATCTACCTAAGTGACAACAAGGCAAAGTTCAGCCTTGAATATGCCTGGAGGGAACTACGGTTTGATCAAAAATGGAGATCAAACTGTCTCTCCAAAGATGGTACGAAGGAAAAAAAAAAGGATACTGAGGACGACGTGCCTGACGTGGAAGAGGTGAGGCCTCCAGGTGTGAAGGCTGCTAAAGCAGCCAA